ACACACACACACACACACACACACACGTACGTATAGGGACATTTAAGAGGGTTTATTCGCCAAATAACTCTAATTTCATGTTGCAGAAAAATGTGTTTAAAAATCATGTATGGTCTCTTGTTCTTGCTCCAAGTTACCTTCCTGTCCACTGATTTTTGCCTCTCACAAAAGCCACAAAGCCTTCCAAGAAGACAGTAAAGGCTTATGTTATGCTACGTTACGACATAAATGCAATGTTTAGGTATTATTATTTTTATTATTATTATTTTGATTTATGCTTTAGTTTGTACTGTTTACCTTTTTTAAAGTAATGTGAAATTGATTTTTGTATTTTTATTCATTTATTTTATTTTTTATTGATATATTTGTATTTGCATTTTGAATGCAATTTGGCAATTAAATACATTAAATGGGTTTAGTTTTCACGGTTATGCAATTTCAGCAATAAAAATGTAAATTTTTCTAAAAAGAAAAAAAATTAGTTGTTTATTTTAAGAGATCTATCTTATTATCTCTTGTATATTTAGTATTGCTCTTTAATAAAGAAAAATGACTTCTTATCCGATTACTCGATTAATCGATGGAATAATCTGCAGAATACTCTATTACTAAAATAATCGATTGCTACAGCCCTAGTTTATTTTAACATTTTGGGAGGATAAATTAAATTAAATTAAATTAAATTAAATTTATGCATTTAGCAGACGCTTTTATCCAAAGCGACTTACAGTGCATTCAGGCTAAACATATTTTATCAGTATGTGTGTTCCCTGGGAATTGAACCCACAACCTTTGCGCTGCTAACGCAATGCTCTACCACTGAGCCACAGGAACATAAAGGAATAAAACGTACATATGCGGTTTAAACAACCAAATGCATTTACACTTGTCCAGTTTTGTCTGAATGCGTCCCAGACCTCCTCCTGAAGTGGTTTGAGCGATCAGATTTAAATGCATCTCGAAAGTGTTTCAGAGGGCATTTACACCTGGTCTTTTCACGATCGGATAGCTATCCAATCAGAGAAAACGCATAAAGTGACTGGGTGTAAACAGGCCCTTTGTGTACCAGCAACAAGTGCCCCCTCAGAGCGCCTGTTTAGCACCAGAGGGAATAGCGACTTGCACTCGATCATCCTTAAAACCAGCAAAAGTGCATATGTGGTTTTCCTAGCAAAAAAACCTGTGAGCTACTGAGAACCATTCAGTAGGATCACTATGGCTGGCAGTGCCATGCTCATTGTGCACTTTCTATGTGGTGTGTTGTTGTTAATGACTGGAGATAATTAAGATTGATATTTATATTAATGTTCAGACAGTGATTCTTTTTCTTTTAGGATTTAATACAAAAAAAAGTATGGTAACACTTTATTTTGATGGTCCCTTTTGAACGTTCTGTTGACAATAAGTAATGTTTCACCTACATGTCAACTAACGCTCATTAGACTATTAGTAGACTGTCTGCACCATATCTCCTAACTCTTTATTGTGATGATGTCCCAACAGACTACTGACTATAAGTAACTTTGCAAGTATGTCAACTTAATCTAACCCTACCAGTCTACTAGTACTCTACTAACACTCTAATGAGAGCTCGTAGATGTGTAGGTGCAGCGTTGACTTATAGTCAACAGAATGTGTTAAAGGGACCATCAAAATAAAGTGAAATCAAAAGTACAATTCACATGTTTATATTACGCTTAACTTTGATTTACCTAATATTTTTAAGAGGTACAGGCAGGGGCGCCGTAAGGGGGGTGGGGGGTTAGGACGATTCCTAGGGCCCGGCATGAGAGGGGGACTTTCTAACGAGGGGGACCCCCACATTATCACTAGATCCCACACACTCCACACAGAACACGAGTCTGTGCTGATGAGAGAAATGGTTTAACACAACCCACTGGAATCCCTGACTGTAAATCATTTACACGTTTTATTCACTTGACAGCAAATAATTTATTACTCTTTAAAAAAAATAGTTTTAGCATAATTGTTTTTTTGTGCTTTTTAACAGACCAGCTTACAACTTTAACAAAACATACATAAATTATATACCGATCATTTACTAATGATTCGATCATCATTTGTTCATGATTAACAAATGTTTATTGAGACAATAGTACAAAGTTGACATTTCAATTAATAATATATTAACTAGTAACTTATTAACAATTTACTAAGGATCTGTTGGATTATTTCATGATATGCTATTTTTTAAGATAACGAAAGATTTGTAAATCTTTAGCATATAATAATTTGTGAACATATAGTCATGTTTTGTAAATGATTAGTTCATCAATATCTAATCACATGTAATGATTTACAACTTAATCTACAAAACAGATAAAAATATTAACATATCACTTATTAAGCATTTATGAACACAGTCATGTTTTGTAAAAGATTAGTTAATCATTAACTAATCACTTATAAATGACTTATAACTGAACTTTATTATAAAGTGTTACCGTGTCCTGCATTTTTCATGTCACTATCGAAACAGTTTTAGTCCATTGGCTGAATCTGATTTGAATTACACCCCTACATTTATGATCAGGAAATATTCGTGTCACTCTCTCTTATAGCTAGATGGAGAGTAGATAGGCCCCATCATTTTGAGCTAAATGTGTTCAAAAGTCTGAAAAATCTGTGTAACTTTAAGGAACGTCACTTCCAAACACCTTTTTTCTGCAATTAAGCACACTGTTTTGGGAGTTCTTCCGTAACATTTAGTTTTTATATGCGTACAACTGTTAAGAACTGTGCTAGCTAACCATGTGCTGATTAGCATCTTTGAGCTAGGTTTAAAAGTATCTAAAATGGGTCACTACCTAAACATTTGTGAATGATTTTGACCGAAAATGTGTAGTCACTACCGAAACATGGGATGTTTTGTCAAAAATAAAGTATACTGAATTATTAAGATGTTATGACAGTTTTGGTTCAATGTATATTCAAACTAATGAATCCTTAAAGGGGTCCTATTATGCTTTTTCACTTTTTTAATTTTAGTCAGTGTGTAGTGTGTATGTTTGGGCATAAAAAAGATCTAGAAAGTTACAAATCTCAAAGTCCACTCCAAAGGGAGATATTTCGTTTTTAAAAAATCCCTTTTCAAGAACTACAACGAATGGCTCGTTTGGACTACAGCGTTTGTTTTCCGGGCTTTGTGATATCACAAAGCGGCTCATTGGAATATCATTACAAATAATTCCCGCCTACAGAAATTCGAATGGTTGGGTGGTGGGGAGGGGCGAGGCTGTGGTTAGAACGCTTGGTTGAGTGAGTGCATCAGACGAGACGACGAAGAAGAAGTGCTGCTGCAGAGTTAGTGCATCAGAGAAAACCAAGAAGAGCTGCTGTGCTGTAGCTTCAAATTTTCAGCATGTCTAGAACAATTCTTGCAAGTACAACACGACAGGGGTGCGGGAAGATGTTTTCGGTTGGGGGTGCTGTGTGTGTCCGTGTTGGGTGA